CTAGAAGAATATATTATAAAGGCTATCCTTAATATAAATAAAATTAATAATAAAATAATATATTTTATTAAATAAAAAGATTACCTTAACTTAGAAAATATATAAGAATCCCTAGAATACCTTATTAATATATAATACTTTCTAAAAAACTTCTATTAATAATACTAAATATAGGCTTATTAAGACTAATAGTATTCTAATTAATTAAATTAATAGCCCTAAAAGAATATACCTCTATAATAGTAAATAACTCCTCGCGGAGCTTACTTAACTCCTCTAAGGTATATAGGCTACGCTTAAAGGCCTTATTACTATGCGCTTTAAGTAATCTCTTTTATTTCTAGATATAAGTAAGCTTAGCTATTACCTCCTCTAAGGTAATTTTTACCTTAGCCTCCTTATCTTTTAGGTATTTATACTCTTAGATATTTTTTATAATTATAGAAAGTTAATTAATAATTATAGGGGAATATTAATATATACTTATAGAAAGAAGCTATATTAGCTCTATTATATATTATTTTTATATTAATATAATAAGAATAATAATTAAAATAATTAGAGATTACCTTATAGGATAAGCCCTAGCGGAAATAATAAGTATAAGGTATAATTTTAAAACTAAAAGCCTTAATATAAATAAAGAGATCTTATATTTTAGAAAGTTTTTATAAGGAAATTTACTTAGAAACTTAGCCTAATATTATATTAATAAAAAAAGATTTTTATAAATTAGAGTTACTTACTAATAATACTTAATTATTAAAACTAGTCTTAAGGATAAGATTAATAGAAAGGGAACCTTATATTATAGCTATAATATAAGCTAAGCGGGGAAATATAATAAAAATACTCTAATTAAGTAAAGGACTAAAGGGACTAAGTATTACCTATATTAATCTAAGGACTAAATATTAAAAATATTAGTCTTATTTTAGACCGAACTTAGAGAATATTAGTCTAGAGATTAACTATAAATATATAAAACGCGCTTATTATACTTTCTTATATAGTAGTTACCTTAGTTATTAATATAACTTAGTTATATTTAATACCTTAAGTATATTACTAGATATAATATTATATTACCCTTTAAGGTTATATAATATTCTCCTCTGCTAATATAAACCCATATAACTAGTTTATCCCTTAGGAACCCTATGATCGTCATAGTAATCCTCTAAATAAAAGCTATTAATATATAATAAGAGGATATTTCTTAAGGGATAAACTAATTATATTAGTTTATATTAATAGAGGAGAATATTATATAACCTTAAAGGGTAATATAATATTATATTTAGTAATATACTTAAGGTATTAAGTATAACTAAGTTATATTAATAGCTAAGGTAATTATTATATAAGAAAGTATAATAAGTATATTTTATATATTATTTAGTCTTTAAGTTAAATATAATTAAGTTAAGTTAAGTTATTAGTATTTAACTTATATGGTTAAGAGAAATTAAATTAATTTTATTTAATTTATATATTTTCTTTCCCTATAATTAGCTAATATAGTGGGGTTAGTTTTTTACCCGGCGTTATCGCCCTTGATTATATTATAGCTATAATATCTAAGGCCTGATATTTAAACCTTGATTTTAGTAATAATATTAAAATTATACTTTGCCCCCTTAATTATAAAGAAAAAGTCCTAATTAGAATTATTCGAGGCGATAATTATCTCTCTAGTAGCGAGAATTACCTATACCTCGAGGAATTAATTAATAGTAAAACCCAGGAGGCCTAAAGTCTAGCTTACTTTACTACTAAGTATAAAGCTGGTATACCTGAGCTCTTTTATTGCTAGAAGAACTATATATATGCCGCTGGCATTATAGGCCGCTATAATATCGCCTCCCGTGGCGCTACCCCTAATAGTCATAACCCCATTATGGCTAAATTAGTATCGATATATATTTGTCTTATTTGCCTAAGATTAATATAAACCCGGCCCTTAGAGCTTAAGGCCGCTATAAATAAGTGGCCACTAGATACCATAGCGACCTTAAGCCTATTAGACATCGCGTATTAGATAGCTAAGGATACGTCCTAGTGATTAATAGGTTCAAATATTACTTTGGGCTTTAATTCCTTATTTCCTAACCATCGTCGAATAAGTCTCGAATAATTAGGGTCGTTTGGAGTAGTAATAACTGAAGATAGTGTAAGCAAAACCGGAGGGAGTCAAGGGCTTGGATGTGGACGTATAGCCCCTACAATTGGCGCTTCTGATAGCTTCAAACGTCGACAAGGCCATTTCGATAGAGAGGTTCAGTCGAATCAATGAATATTCTTGAAGGTTGAGGCAATAGAAAACAGAAATTAGTTTTAGGAGCCTTCATAATCACTGACCTTTAACTCCCAGTGTCAGAGGTGGTTCTTGAGCCTACGTAGGTAAGCGGCTCGGGTGCATTTCCGAAGCCGAATGCACTCAAATGGGGATTTCGACGCCAAGATTGTATGACAGTAAGGCCCATAATCGATTCACTGAGCCGCTTTTCGTTTGTCGGTACCATGCCCTGGAGATGACCGGGACTGAACCTTGTTTGAGCGCTTATGCAAGCCCCTCCCAGTGAGATGCACATACTTTGTAAGCAAGAAATATGTGTGATGGCATGCAAGTGGGATATGATATGCAGGGGAGGCTAAGCCGATCAAAGCGGAGGTGGGATACCGATATGGAACGAATGGAAACCTGGCCTGTGGACACTCTACTCTAACCGAGCACTGAAAGAGGGATGCTATTGAGCCCTTGACGATCGACCTCAAACCATCGGGTGTGAGGCCGAGCCCGCCTGGTCCAAGCCCTTGACCACCTTTCTGCTGACCGCTCCATCGGCAGACATAGTCGGCATTCTCTGTGCACGCCCCATCGGCAGACATAGTCGGCATTCTCTGTGCACGCCCTACAGGTTAAATAACTTCTCGCGGAGGCGCGCTGACGCCCAGCTGGGAATGATTCGCTAATTATCTTCCACCAGATGGTTACTGGACGGATTCGCTCACACAATCTCAATTCGACATGACGAAAGGCTTCCCCAGCATGCCCATCTCTTCGAGGTGGCTTGCTCTGTGTGCCTTATCTGATGCGTTTTCGATGATGCGGGTCCTCAAAAGCATAATCTAGGGCAACAACATGTGTTTGGTACAGTGGCGGTGCGTATGCAATATTGCTCTTGAACGTAGTCCCCGAACGTGGTCTCGACCTGGTATACTGCAGGAGGGCAAGGCGATGTGGAAACGCCGCCCAGGAAACACTTAAGAGTATATGGAATTGATATACGTCTAGAAGATTAGTATTTAACTTGTTCTCAATATCTACTTATGATATATATTATGTAAAGGGATGATTAACCCTTCTCTACCTGTAGAGGCCAAGTTGGCGGTAAATCCATGTCAAGGAAGTGCCGACGCAAACCCCGAACCGGCCCATTCTAAATCTGGATTAGTCAAAAATCCCCCGCAATTTCATCTCTCAACCCCAGATTCTCCTAGCACTTAGCATTTGTGACATCCCCTCTGTCTTCTCTTTATCCGCTCACGAGAGCTTCCATATCCCACTTTCGTGATTAATATCCCAACTGGCAGTTCTAAACTGTCTCCATATCTCCAGATTCCCGCTGCTGATTCCAAATGTCGTCCCAGGATATCCTTTGGCAGAACGGATACAACCCCGGCTTCGGGATCGAGGCGAGCAGCAGCCACTATCAGTACAAGGAACCGCGTTCCAAACGTCGCAAAACACAGCTCGCTTGCAACTGCTGCCGTGTGCGTAAGACCAAGTGTGACGGTGGGCGCCCTGTTTGCTCTGCGTGTGAGAAACGAGGCTCGAGAGAAGACTGCTTGTATGAAGAGGGGACTCTGAGAACTCGAAGGTAGGTAAGCCTATCGTACCAGCCCGGCCTTTTTTGTTGCTAAATAAAAGCCCAAAGGCATATACGGGCATTAGAAAGCAGGTTGGAGCAGCTTGAAAGGGGCTATGATTCCAGGCACACAGGGCTGGACGACAACACCTCCGGAACTCAGCCCAGGAGCAGTCGTCGATGGCAGAAGGGTAGGCCGCGTCGGCTATTTCGCCTTTTCGGGTAGTCAAAAGATATTACGGCTGACCCTCGCATCAGGCCTATCCAGATCTTCACCTCCCTTGGAGAGTGGCATGGTAAACACCAACGGTGTGCCCGACAGGCTTGTCAATGTCACGTCAGCAACCCACGACAACCACAGTCCGCCCACCCTTGGTGGAGTTCCAACTGCTCTTTCTAGCCAGGCAGAATCCCAGGACGCTCTAGCAACTGTCCCTACTTGTTTTCATCATCATGATCTACTATATGGTGCATCCTCGACGATTGCCTTTGTCGAACACGTATTCGTCACTACAGATGAAACCGATGGGTCATCAATGCCCAGCACAGACCTAACTACACCTGCAACTCATAGCCTAGGACAAAACGGTCCGCCAAAGAGGAGCCCAGCCGGTCTAGATCTTCTACCGATCCGAAGGGTTTCGGATAGCTACCTCCAGAGTTTCTGGGGTATCGTTCACCCTGTATTTCCTGTCCTACACAAACCAACATTCACGCAGTTTTACCAGCTGTTTTGGGAGCCGGCAGACATAGAAAGAGTGGACTCCACGGTTGACGACCCAGTGATGCTAGCAAAGCTCAACCTCGTTCTTGCAATCGGGTGTCGATTCACTGAGAGTGTGGATCTGGACAGTCGGGCAATTCAGGCAGATGAGTTCTACCAGCGTGCCAGGAGACTCGTTCCGATCGATTCTCTTGATGCAGCGTCCTTACCGATTATTCAGATGCTATTATTGACCGCTATCCACCTCCAGTCAACAACATATTCCAGCCGATGTTGGAACATGGTGGGACTTGCAACACGAGTGGCCCAAAGTCTCGGCTTGCATCTCAACCGGGGCGAGTCAGAAACAGGTAATCAGCTTGAGAGGGAAATGCGCCGACGAGTGTGGTACACGTGCGTGACGTTAGATAGGTAAGCAGTCCACCATAGTTACTGTTGCCACATGTGAGTTGCTACAATATTTGCTAACTCCATCTGCAAAACATAAAGGTTGATGTGCACTACCTTTGGCAGGCCAGCCATGCTGCCACACAACTCGCAAGTAACCTTACCGCTCATGGTCGACGACGAGTATCTTCTCAAAGATGGAGAAGGTACCCAGCCAGCAGCGATACAATCTCGGATGGGGCTTTTTGTTTACACCGTCCTGCTCTTCGACATTTTGGCCGAGGTACTGGAATGCTTCTACACTGACGCCGGTCAAGCAAAGAACCTCGCCGCTAGCCAACGCCAGGATAGGTCCATGTCCGATTTGCATGAAATGTTGCGGCTGAACTCGAAGCTAGATCAATTTCTGGAAGCTCTCCCGAAGAATCTGAGACTTGAAACTCTGTCAAGTAGCTCAGACACTCCAACCCGCACCGCCCTGCTGCAAGCAAGGGTTCTCTACTGCAGGTATGCTCCCTCATGGAGTATTCTTCATCCTAACCATCCCTAACAATCCACCTAGGTTTCTTTATATACGACTTCTCTTGCTTCGTCCAGTCATTATTTGTTTATCCTACTCGGCCTCAAGCCGAAAATTAGACTGTACCATGCGAGAAAAAAACAGTCTTGGAGACCAAATTGTTGGGCGAATGCGTCAAGTTTGCCTGGACACAGCGCGCGAGTTGATATCCGTCTTGCATCAGGATATGGGCAGTGTGTATCGGTGCTCAGCATGGTGGACCACTTACTGTGTGTCTTCCGTCTCTCCGTTATTGCTTCAATATTCTAACACTGAGTGCTCTAGTCACTTTTGGTGCAGCCACAGTCCTGCTGGCTTCCTTGCTATCTTCTGAGGAGGATACGATGACTTCTGTCGATACTTCATTGGCATATGCCATGGATATATTTAAACACTATATCAACAAGGTAGAATCATCAGCACGCGCAATCCAAGTTATTGAGGCCATGAAACATCGCCTGTCTCAGTTCCAGAACACAGGTATATTATCTACATCTTCCCAACATCGCACTCGGACTTGCTCTCCGGGTTGGTCATTCTTTCCTAACATTGCTTCGTTTCCAGGGGTCCCAATATCACGCATAGAGAGTCAACATACCGAATTTCCTTACAGCTTGCCACCCCAGGACTCTACATCTATGTTTGGCTCCAGTGTCAACAATCCCGAAGGTCATGTACAGGGTCTCGCTCCTGATCTCTTCACTGACGACTGGTTCTCGTATCAGACGATGGCCTTCGACTTCCAAGGCTATCTCTGAGGATACCAAGGTCAATTTGTAAATATATCCGACCATACCTACACTACCATGTCTCGATCGAGATAGATTTTGCCTAACACGCATCTCTCCTTCCGACCCCTATACTAAAAATCACAAAAACGTGAACACCTGTTGAAATCTTTCCAACAAGCCAATAACCTCTGGAGAATTGACTATGTCACACTGGTCAGATGGTCGATTCGTTGAGCCGAACGAGCAGCTTTCGCCCTGCTGGACCTGCGCTAAAATTGTCGAACATTCTCATGTCTTCTGGCTGCATACTGGGATCGATGGTTGCGTCATATCGCCGAAAGAATGCTGCCACGAGTTTACTCAGCTCCATCTGTGCCAGACTCGCTAATGTTAGCGCCCAGCAAGAATTAGTTTGCTTTCTTGGGTACTCACTTTATCCCGATGCATCTTCGAGAACCAACGGAGAATGGTACAAATGCCTCCTTCCGTTGTTCAATATTCTCGTCATCGAGCCACCGATCTGGGATGAACCTTTCTGGCTCGGGAAATGCAGGTTCCCACCGGTGTATTGTGTAGTTTTGTATTCCAACAATAGTCTAGATCCAAGTCAGTGAGCGGTAGTTAGGTGCTGTCAATATGTAGATAGCTTACTCCTTTCTGAATGTGAACACCGGCGACAGAGGTATCCCGCATGGCGATTCTTGGGATTATGGCAACGATGGTTGGGTACAGGCGAAGGGTTTCGTTTATCACCGCCTGCAAGTATGGTAAACGAGAACAAGTCTGTACTTTTTTAGCCCAGAAAGGTGACATGGGGGACTTTCATAGAGCAGACCTGATAGTCTGGAACAGATCCAACGTTTGGAATGGCGGCTCTCAGCTCGGCTTTGAGTTTTTCAACTACCCCCGGGTGCTGGAGCGTGGCCCAAAGCAGGAAAACGAAGGTGTTTGCCGTCGTCCCAGTTCCTCCAAACCTAAAACAAGAGAAAAGGGGTTAATCAACTATTACAGCTAGTGAACAGAATAGTCAAGCTTACATCCCGCTCATGCATTCCTCGGCCACTTCTGAGTCCGTGAGTGGTCGGTCGAGATAGCCATCCTTTTCCCCATAGAGAACGGACCGAAAGAACGGAGTGACGACAGTGTTCTGGCGGCACTTCCTGATAAGATCGACGGAGTACTGTGCTGGTTGTCAGATTGCTCTCATACAAGCTACAATTCAAGCTGGTAATTACCTCCTTCCATGCCTTGACTTTGCGGAAGTTTTCACCAAGTGCTCCCGGCAGGTAGATACCGATCTTCTCCAATTGAGGCCAGAACTCCTTCTGTAAACCTAAGTTTTAGCGTCTCGTCACTCATGGAGTTGACGTCCTAGGGGATGAAGCACTGCGTCAAGGGAGGGCATGGGCCATGCCATGATACATACATAAATGAAGATGGGCCTCCAGGCTCGGAAGTAGGACAGGACTTTGTGCTCTCCTCCTGACTCTAATGACTTTGGGTCATCTCCGAATAGTAACCAGTCTGCGGCCTGTCAGCTTTTCTGCCGTTTAACAAACTAAGAGCGACTTCTTCATACAAACTACATCAAATGACAAGAGATGCACTCGGTTGTATATGTCGACTGGCTTCCCATCTGCACTGTCTTTACCGATAACTTGGAGAAATATTTGGATCTTTGTAGAAAGTTCTTGCTCGATAGCTAGCAAACTGCGCTGAGAGTACCCGCGTGATAGTAGTTTACGACGTTGGCTATGCGCTTCAGGGTTTCTAAACAGTTGAAATGCGATGAGTTAATTTCCAGGCATAGGCCAGAGGATCTTACGTAAAACTAAAAAGGTGATCTTCTTCATAACCTCGTTTAGAAAACTAAGCAAACATATTAATCTGGAGTAAATTGAGAGCCAAGATAAGAAAAGACGCACGTAGAAAGATTCCTCTTTTTGGAAATCATCTGTGGTGTAAATATCTCGGATTGCCAAAGGGTCTGCGAAAGATAGCTCATTTGGTCCAATTCGGATAACGGCACCTACGTACTCAGTCAAAAGAACTCACTTGTCGAGTTAGAAAGTATTATTCCTTTCAAGACTTACCGTACTTTTGATGGGCTTCGTGGATTCTCATGTACTTGAGCCCCTGGAAGTTCGCCCGTCTACTCCAGACCCGAGAGATCTTGGCCAGCGGGGGGCCGGGGAACTTGCGGAAAGGGTGAAAGAAAAGATTGTAGATGATGGAGTGTCCAAGATAGAAGCATATGAGGCCAGATAGAGCCAAGAAATATTGCAATAGTAGGGCCATTGTGTGTAAGAAGTGTGAGTAGCGATTGAGTCAAGATCTGGACGGTGGATGCTGCGGGGGAGCGTCGCGGCTTGCTTGTAGAATATATATGAGTGTAGAAAGTTGGGACCATATCAGCTACAGCTAAGGAAAGAAGGCCTTCCTTTAGTACCTGATGCATATAAGTATTCGTTAAGCCCAAAAGAAACACGCCCAAACCAGCAACACCGCACTTCCCCAAGCCTTACTAGTCTCTGCCATTTTGCTCAGGTACTTCTAGGCCCTTCTCTGGTCCCGCTGTTCACCCCCCCAAAGCAAGCCTTTCTGTGTGTGATGTACAATGCCACCATCTTGTTTTCTCCCATTGACAGATCAATCTGCTGCGGCACTTCTCCCACGAGGTGTTGATCCCAGCCGGCACATGTCCCCGTTCTCAGCTAATCCATTTTCGCCGATGGTTGAACCGATGCGCGAAGACGCACACGGACTCAACTGAAGGCCACCGGAATAGTGACCGCCGGCAAATGTGACGGCAACTGACCCTGGCCAGTCTCCTACATCAGGTGATGGATGGTAGACAACCCCGCCCGGGATGTGATTCCGCTCAACGGGCCGGAACCTTCTTTCACCGTTGGATCCTCCGACTGGCTGGATCTGGGAACAAGGGTCCTTGACGGGGATGAGCGAGTAAGACCACTGTTGTCAGGTGCCGATCGTCCATATTTCGATCTAACCAAGCTCAGCCATCCTGCTCAAGCAACGATCGCGTTGGGAGGACGTGCGCTCTCATCAAAACTCGCACTCTCATACCTTCAAAGGTACCTAATCACTTCACAAAATTTCCATTCACCCCCAGCATCTTTGCCTTGACTCTATGCCCTTGTCTACCAATGCCTGTCTTCCTATTCTAGGCGTTATTCTATACCAATTCCCTTTGCTCCAGTCATGTCAGCCACACCACATCTCATCACGAGAACCAAGGAGTACTACCAAATCGATCTCACCACAAGGCTACCCCCGGGGACCGACAGCATCGATCAGCTAAACAACAACCCAAGGCAGCCTAGGCCGCCAGCAGAGGCTAAGCGGCCTGTCCCAGAATGGCCACCGTTGTCGGAACGAAAAGGCAAATGGATTGCCAAATACCTAGACACGGTATGGTTTGATCTTGTCCCATCCAGCAGCTAGGCGTGTCATGATAACACTTTTGCGTTGCCGAAGCTGGATCCCGAAACCGAGTACGATCAGATCATTCGGACAGCCAATTTTTTTGCCGGCACGAGTTTCGCGGTAGCCATTGGATATTGCTCAACATTTGTACACCTAGTACAAACCCCCGCTGGCGCGGCTGCTATTCACCACGGCGGAAGAGTCTACAAGCGTGGCCACCAACGCTTCTATGAGACCCAAAACCACTTTCTAGATTGGATGTGGTATGGAAGCGACTCTGATGAAACGATAGAAGATATCGAAAGCGTCAACAAGCTGCATGCCGGCCTATGGAGGAATGTCCCTGGAACCTTTTCTTCCCCTTGGGAAGGTATGATGTCCGTCATTGGTTCTGCATACTTCGAGACATACCTACGGAAGCTCGTTGGGGCGCGCAATCAGAAACCCCATCCCCATCTAGCCGCGGCGTGGCCTGCTTGGGCCGAACGCGTCTGTTCTCACTTTCGGACGGAGCCGGGAGCCAACTTTCGGGATTATGGTGCCAATTTCCCCAGAAACTGGACAGAACTCGAAGATTTCTACTTATGGTTCCAGAGTTTGCCTTTCAAGGAGTATACCAATGACGAAGACCGTCAGAAGGGCCATGAGATTGCCCAGGCATTCCTTGATCAATTCAGCACACTATGGTTTCCAAGGTACAGAAGGCTGGAAACAACATTCTGGTTCCAAGGTTCTAAAGGCTAACAAAGCTAAACAGACAGTTACACTGGCTCGGACGTAGTGTTCTCTTGACTCTGGTATCTGAAAAGGTGCGCAAGCAGCAGCAGCTTGGATCGCCAAATTCTATCATAGCGTCAGGAATCAAGCTTGGGTTTAAACTGCTGTTCGATGTAACAGACATTATGCCAGACCCTGTTACACCTGCATTGTTAGAGGAGTATCGAGCGGTAAAGGCGTGGAAGTGGCATCAGATTGATGTTCAGGTTAGGAGAGAGTGGCATCACCGAGAGCGGATATTAGATGTGGTGCTCTTCGCAGCATCTATCCTTATCCTGTTTGGTTTGTATAAGTCTTTTGCGAAGTAGAAGTATTAAATGAAGATTATGTTCTCTCCTCTGCTTTTCCATGGCTTCCGCTCGCGGTTCTTATGCCAGATATTACCTATGTAGCCCGTACTATACTTCCTTTGTTTATTAGCTTACTATGAGGCTTCGAAGCTCCTTGCTAAAACCTCAACAGTTTGTTCGCTCTCTAGTGAGGACGTGAAGGCCCTTAGTAGATTAATAACCAGGAATATATATAATATGAGATAGCTTAGCGGAGATATTTTAACACATATAAGAACTGCTAAGCTATTGCAAGATAAGAAAACTTAATACGACTTTGTATTAGACAACCCTAAACTAATAAAGTCGTGACGCACTTAAGTAGCTAATATCGCGACCTATTATGTGACATCTAGTGTTTTCTAAGGGAATAAACCAGGCGTGCTAGGTTTAATATTAGCAGGAGGTCTCGGCGTTACTATATAAAGGGGTATTATATCTTAATAATAGGTTAAGAAGGTCTTAAAGGTAACTAAAGTCTATTAATAGCTAAGAAAGCTAAGTATTTATCTAAGGTATAATAAATATTATATATATATAAGGGGCCTTATACTTAGAGAAATAAGGTTTTTTATGATGAATATATTACGAAGGGAAAATATAGGGAATATTTAGGTATATAATAAAGGGTAATTTAAGCTATAATATAATCTCTCCTCTCTTATTAGTTCTTACCCTTAAGATTATCTTCTAGGCTAGGTTTTTTTTTAATTAATTAATCTTAATTTTTTCTTATAAATATTTATAAGCTAATATAATATTAAGTTATATTAATAAAAAAAAATCTTTTAATCTAAACCGCAATATAATTATATATTATTTAATTATAGCTAAAATTAATTAATTTAGTTATAAAGTTATGCCTTATAGTTATTACGAGAAGAGAGATATATTATATAAGATATTAGAGGGTTATCTTAAGTACAATCTTTATATCGACCTAAGGTATTCTTATAATATAATTAATATTTTATTATTATCTTATAGGTTTTTTAAGTAATATATTTTCTTCTTTTACTAATATATATTATAATAAGCTAAATTATTATTAAGGCAAAAAGGTTAAATAATTAAGAGGCTATTATTAAGGCTTTATTAAATTCTCGCCGCGAGAATCTTAAGTATATTTAATATAAGTTAAATAAGTTATTATTTTAATTAGAATTATATTAAAGGTAAAAGCGCTTTTTAATAACTTAAGGAATTAATTTCATAAAAAAAGGGATTAATACTCTTAAGGAATTAAAATAAATTAATTAATAAAAGTCTTTATTAATTAAGGATATCTATAGCATAATTTATATAGATATTCTTAATTTTAGTTTTCTTAATACTTTAAGTATTCTTATTATTAATAATAAAAATCCTTTAAGAGGTATTATAAATTTATAAGGTATTCTAAGGGTTCCTAAGTATTCTTAGATTTAAAGTAATTTTTTTATTTAATTAAATATTTTATTTTATTATTAATTCTTTTTATCTTAATAATATTTTCTATTATATATTTTTCCGATTTATTAATTTCTTTTAGTTTATTATAATATTTAATATAAATAATATCTTTAATTATTTTAAGTAAGGAAATATAAAAGATTAGATAGAGCTTAATCTTAGGGGATAAGTCTAATTTATAATTATTTTTTAAGATTTTCTAGAGGATTTTAAAAGGTCTAATATACTTATAATTAAGTTTTTTATTTTATTATTTTATTATAATATTTTATATTACTAAATAGATTATTTCTCTTTCTTTATAGGTTAATCTTATTAATTACTTAAGGTTATAATAGGTTTCTATATATGTTTATATAAATTTAAGTTTTATTTTTATTTCTTTATATAGGTTTTTTAGCTAATTATTAATAAGAATAGCTTTAAGATTAATTAATCTTTTTTATTTTATTTAATAAATATTTATAGTAAAGCTAAAATTTATAAAGGCTAGAATTATCCTTATATTTTTATTAAATATTATATTATAAGCTAATTAAGTAATAAGTAATTTATTAACCTAATTAATTTATTTATAATTAATATAATATTATAAGTATTATTTAATAACTTAGTTTAATTTTTTTTATTTATTTATTAACTTAGGGTTAAAATATTATAATAAGCTTATAATTAAGACTAAGTTATATTATAAATATTTATTAAAACTTAGAAGTAAATATAAGTCTTTTATTAGAGATAATTTCTAAAGGTAATTTATAAATATTAATAATTTATTATAAAAAGATATAAGAGAGTTTTTTTATATTTATTATTTCCTAGAATAAAATAAAATATATAAATTTTATAAGATAATTAATAATAATAAAGATATTATTATAAATAATATTAATTAAGGGTTTTTTTAATAAAAGTAATTTTATAATAAAATCTATTATAATTAAATCCTATAATTATTATATAATTAATAAAAGTTATAAAATATTATAAGGTTTATATTATTATATTTATATCTTAATATATAAATTATATTAATATATTATATTTCTAATATATTATTTTATATTAAGGAAATAATATTTATATTCTTATAATCTTTTAAATATTTTTATAAATCCTTAGTATTTATATAAGGGGTATAAATAAAATTTATAAAAGAAATTACTAAATACTTTTAATTATATTATATTTTTTATTTATATAATTTATATAATTATTTTATTTATATTATAAATTATAAGTAATTATTTTTATTATACTTAAGTAATTATCTTTATATTAATATTATTTTAATATTATAATTAGGTTATTAGCTAATAATATTAACTTTATTATTATTTAATCCTTTTTAATAAATAATAATAAAATTAAATTCTAAAAAGTATTTTATATAGCAAAGTTATTATTAATTAAGTTCTTAGGTTATAGCGAAGTATAAGATATTTTTTATAATCTATATAAACCTTAATTTAATATAAATTTCCTCTTAAGTAATATTTAAATTCCTTAAAGGTATTAATAATTAGTAAGAATTCTTTAATATAAATTAAGTAATTAAGTTTTACTTCTTATAGCTTATAGGAATAAAATATAATTAAATAAAGGTTT